CTGTTCAGTCACCCGGCCAGCCGGCGTTGTTGTTGAGCACACCCACTTCAGGGTGAAAATCCAAATAATTCCATCAATACTATATATATTAATTTTTCCCGATTTTTGTAAAATAAAATTCACTTAATGATACCCAATACAAATTTATTTGTTGAATCTGATTCCATTGTAAGGTAAGTAATTTATGTTACACTGTTCCAAATTTAATTAACATTAATTAAAATAATATTCTGCAGGCCCAGGGTGTAGTGATACATGTTACATATATGTTAATTAGCAATATACTCCCAGCACAAGAAAGGCATTCACTTCATCTATATCAATATTTATAAATTTCATAATGAAAAGAAAGGTTTCTATTGGCCAATTGAATAATGTTTTCAAATGATGATGTTGCGCAATGTTCTCATTGATTGGCTAGTTGAATTTAACTGCCATTGAAATTTATGAATATTTATAAAGATGAAGGGAATTCCTTTGTTGCACTGAGAATTTAGAAAACAAATAACAAAGTTGTGAGACAAAAAAAAAAAATGGCTCACCCTGATTTTGCAATCAGTGAAACAAGACCTTTTAATAAAACAATAGAAATAGTTTCTTAAGTCCCCCATCACTAACCTGAAGTCTAAGGCCCACTTTATATTACGGTTTTCACGACAGTAGCGAAATTTCCCGCTGTCGGAACACCACTATCACGACATCTTTAGACCCACCGCCCGGAAATCTGCCTTCTTTCCTCCCCGCCATGTTTTTTGTCTCTCTGTATATGCTAATTAGCACACAGTTTATGCTAATCTTCTAAACCCTGACCTCCCACTGTCGCGAGCCCTATGCATTCTCTTTACACGTACTTTGAAGTTGACAAGGACTCTTGCTGAGCTGTCAGGTGACCACTTCGGAGTTGTCGGGAGAAAATTTGAAGACATCAAAACTACTACAGTGGGAATTATTCTCCTTACATGGGGCTCCCGCTGTCGCCAGTAAGAAAATGAAACTATTAATTTTGTGCTTATTAATTATTCATGACTTTTTGTTTTTTTTGTTTTCAGCCGATGAAGAATTTGATGAATTGTGTTTTGAGTTTGGTTTGGAACTTGATGAAGTGGTAAGTTGTGAATCTTATTCCACCCTATTGTTGACCATTGAGCAATATATAACAGATAGTAGGAAAAGATTGAGCATTACTGATTATCTACAATTTATGTTTATATATTATAATAATTTTCAAGTAGTATGTATAAAAATAAATTTGGTGGAAAAATCTCTCTGTCATAAAACAAATGGTACATAGTGGTGTCTATTTTGAAATACACGCCAGGGATTTTTTAAAACAGGGAACAGGGGCGTAGCGCCCTCATGCCATGGCCATGCACCCCCTTACCCTGGGTAGCAGATTCTCTGGCAACCATCAAATTCTGATTGACCAGTGATCACATGTGGCCACAGTCTTCAACTGTGACTTGTCTGATAGTAATTTTTGCCCCAAGGAAGCCATAGAATGCTCCATTTTAACTTAGGATTATCGAAAAAATTCACCCCCTGGTAGGGAGAACCCTATCTCCCCCACTTGGTTTTTTTTCTAGAAAACCCCCTGCATGCTTTCTGAGTATAATAAAAGTCACTAGAACATAGTTGTGTTTTGGAACATTACTAAAAATTTATGTTTCTTTTGAAATTTTATGACCAACAATGGGATTTTCAGTGCATGTTATCACAGTTATTATCTCCAATCAAAGCCTAAAAAAAACACCTTTTAGTCAATTTGTTTTTCAAATTTGATGCGCATATGCATTTTTTCATGATAAAATCTTTCCTAAAAATTGAATTTCTTTAAAATTCTGATAACAAATCTGTGACATGCCCATTTTTAAATAGGGCGTTACTATATTTGCTTCGTTAGAATTGTCAAAACACAAATTTGTTGGTACTCGTGTCCCTGAAGAAATATGATACATTATTTTGATTTTCAATTCAGCTTTTTCAATCACAGTCTTATTTTGTGTCATATTTTCGTATATTTCAGACATCTGAAAAAGGCATGTTGATACGGGAACAAGGTGATGATAAAGGCATTGATGCGTCTGATGCTGTCATATATCGAGTGGAAGTCCCAGCCAACAGGTGAGAAATTATAGGAAAATTGCAGTCACTTGATGAGGATATGATGAATGAAAAAAAAAAAATTGTAAGAAATGTGCTTTGTAGTATCACAGACATAAAATCCTTATTTTGTGCATTTTCCACCA